ATTCAATTAATTTGAAATATTTACAAAATGATTGATGAATATCTCCGAAACCAGAGGTTTTTTTTCTACATTTTTTCATTTTGGCATGTGGGTAGACACTGTCAGCGTTTGAGCCAAGACAGCTCTGTTTATTGAAGTCAAATGTGTTCCCATTCAGTCGGCTCTCTCGGTACAATACGTGACTGGGATATATCACATTCTCGCATTATTCCCTGAAGACACCTTCATTCACATCTAAAAGGCCAATAGTATATAATGACGTGGACGCACGCGCTGAATATAAATGTGATGGCATGAGATCTATAGCTCCTCACTGCACTCTGAGAACATCCTGCGCTCAACAATTAATACTAGTTATTGTCTTACAGCCGGAAGTCAAAAACAAGACGTTTCTTAGCTTTTTGTCTAGCTAGTTACTTTTGTGACTTGGTGCTTAGCAGTGCAGCATTCGAGCAAGACTCCTTTCCTTCTGCCTGTGCTGATCTGAGCTGCAGAAACAGGGAATTGAGCTGATCATATTGAAGTTGAGGTGTAATGATGAACACATTTCCGTAACTGCACAGACTTTGATATACAGTGGGTACGGAAAGTATTCAGACCCCCTTAAATTTTTCACTCTTTGTTATATTGCAGCCATTTGCTAAAATCATTTAAGTTCATTTTTTTTTCCTCATTAATGTACACACAGCACCCCATATTGACAGAAAAACACAGAATTGTTGACATTTTTGCAGATTTATTAAAAAAGAAAAACTGAAATATCACATGGTCCTAAATATTCAGACCCTTTGCTCAGTATTTAGTAGAAGCACCCTTTTGATCTAATACAGCCATGAGTCTTTTTGGGAAAGAGGCAACAAGTTTTTCACACCTGGATTTGGGAATCCTCTGCCATTCCTCCTTGCAGACTCTGTCTTTCTGAATGCTGACGATGACTTCCCAACAATAATTGGGAGAGCATAACCAATGCCATTAAGCTTAACCAAACCGCTGCTTGCAGTGAAGTGAGGGGCTCAGCTGCTCTTTGGACCGCAATATACACAGTAGGCCCAAATTTAGGATTTATGTTCTTGAATTGCATATAACATTTCCATCCATTTTAATTACACAGTTTTAACATAAACTAATAAACTTAATGTGATGCATATTTGCCACTCATGCATACATGAAACAAGTTAGATTTCTGTAATAATACTAATAGACTGAATGTCTTGTAAATAATAATAATGATTATTATTATATAAACAGTTTGTTTAAACCTCATACATTTTAACCAGCTTGTTCCACAGCTAGCCATATTTTATGTTCATACATTTAACTGAATAAATGTAATTTTTATTATGCTGATTCTTAAATAATTTAAATACATTTTAATTTTAATTTAATTGTTTAAATGGAAATATATAATAATAAACTATGCTACGATTATTTTTATTAATGCAGAAATCTAAATCTAGAACCCTATTTCTTACTGTAACACAGTTCGTAGATCGGGAAGAAGGAGGCAGGAACCGGCAAACATTCAAACATAACTTTAATAATAAAATAAACACAACACTTAAAATAAACAAAACATCATAAAATCCAGGCCTGGTCTTCTCTCGTCCAACACTGTCGTCACTCCTCCTTTTATCCTTCCGGAGCTCCTCCGTGGCACTCAAGACCGGTGAGTGGCGGAGGTGCCGTGCATTATCATTTACTCCACCGGCCTCGTTCCATTCCCATGGGTTGCGCTGGTGGGGGGGGGGGACGAACTCGCTGCCAGTCACCTGGGCTGTGGAGGGACGGCTGCCATCCGTGAGGGAGCGGAGGAGTCACCGCCCTTCGCCTGAGGCCGGAGCCTGCTGCCGTCCGCCATGATGGGGAGGAGCAGGGAATGGTGGACTCCTGCCGGCTCCCCAAATTCGGAGGAGCCTTCGCCATCCACCGGGCGGTGGAGGAGTGTAGGTTCATCCACTGAGGGCTATCCAGCGCTTCCGCCAGGCATCGCGGAAGAGGTCGCCCAGCTGGTGGAGGGCCGAGCGGCAGTGTGTCTGGGAGCTGGAACATGTTGTGGAGATGCTGTGTGTTTCGTTGTGAAAGTGAAACTACTTTGTTTGGCCTTCCAGAAGAGGACGATATCCGCTTCGTCATGCCTAGAGCTGATCCGTGCTGGTCGCTGAGGAAATATATCAACTTCACGCT